CTTACAAAAAGTGTTAAATAATAAATAAATTCAGCAGATTTTTTGTTTTGCTTTATCTCTTCTTTTGGATTTTGATCAACAGTCACTGAAAGTTTGTAAATGTAATTATTACTATCTTGAGAAGGGATGGACATTTACAGATGACCATTACATGGGGCAGCAATTGTATATTGCTTATTACCTAATTTAATTCAAGATATAGCATTACATCTTGAATATTTGTCACTAACCTGAACATTTTAAACTGAGTACATAAAGAAAAATCAATAAGCAGAGGTTGCTTTCAGCCAAAGCTGCATGTCAAAACAATTAGGAGTTGCAGAGATAAATGCCAAGTTAAATGCAGTTCCTGTAAATATTAAGTTTGGTCCTACCGCTTTCCATTCCACTTACCTATAGGTTACTTTGGTTGTTTATCACATTAGAAGATGAATGAGGAAGCTTGGGAGGTGGAAAGGGGGGTAGAGAAAAAACAAGCATGGCTTTTACAGGAAAGAGATTTGTATATATCTTTAGATTTCTATATCTTTACATCTACTGGGTATTTTGATGTTGGATCTTCACTAAAGATTATGCCCAATTATGCATTTTGTTAGGACATACTCAGTTTGAATTGCTCAGGTTTGTAACAGGTTTACAGATTTACATTTAGCCATTTCATTGTGTTGAGGTATATGACCACCATTCTCTTAAAGATGGTTTTTGCCAACCACTTTGCTACCTTGTGATTCCTGGAAGTCACTGCTACAAAAACAACAAACGTGTAAGGTTTTCTCATCCTCTTATGGCACTTAATTCAGTAATAGACTTACTTATTTAAGTTGGCACTCACCTATCTACACTCACAATACAGGCAATTGTTTGTCATGGACTTTGAAATAATCCTCCAACGTAAGGTGCCACTGATGAAAGATACAGCAAAATTTTATGGAAAATGACAGTAGCAACAGCCTGCACACCCTTTACTGCCCAGGACAGTACACAGAAATAAAAAAAAAAGAGATGGGTATCTTCCGGATAATGTAATGTAATGAGAGTGTCTTAGATGACAGCGCGATTACGTTGGTATATCAGCTGTGATTTTATGTTAAACAATATTTAATCACCAGTTATGTTGATACAAACTGAGACTAGACATATAGGGGTCTATTCACGAAGCTGCCGAAGGATCTGGCCGTAGCTTCGGCCGATCCTTCAGCTAGCTTCGGCCCCAGGACCCCTTTGGTTCAGTAGAACCGAAGGGGTGCTGTACGGGCTATTCTCAATAGCCCGTACAGCTCCCGATCATGGCAGAGCGGCTCAGCCGAGCCGAACGCTTATGCATCGGCTCGGCTGAGCCGTGCTGAAAGCCGAAGCTGGCCGAGTTTCTGACAGCTGGGCGGAGCCAGCCGTGATCTTACGGCTGGCTCCGACCACTTGCAGTGATATCAGCGTCCCTGGTTACCTGCTAACCAGGGACACTGATCTCCAAACAGCAAACTCTCCCTGGCGCCCCGGGATCTCCCGCTCCGGGCCGCCAAGGAGAGAAACACAGCTGTGTCTTTTTTTCTTTATTCTGACACGATCGATGTCAGAATAGAAAAAAAAAAATTTTTTTCCCATTGAAAAGCATTGGGACATTACTATTGGCTATTTCAATTTGCAATAGCCAATAGTAAACTAGCATTGTACCCGCCCTCTGCTGCAGTTCCCCGAAGTCATTTAGATTGATTGAGTAGTGTCAGGGTTTCTTACCCTTCCATTTCCAGCTGATTGCAGCATGGCTTGTGCAGAGTTTCTGACACCTTTTGCTCCTCTTTGGCACCCTCTTATGATTAAACACGTTAACATCATCGGTCTGCAGCTTCTGACAAAACTCCTGACAAATTCCTGTCTTGGAGTGATAATGCAAACACCAGCTCACTTTTTAACCAACAGCTTGTCCATTCAGCCTCCGCCCTCGTGTGTGTTCTGATCTACCAAGTGCTCTGCTGTTGTTCCTGTTCTCCATGTATGACTCTGGCTCTGGCTTACTGATATCCTAGTTTCTGACTCCGGCTATTGTTTCCATTCGTCCTGCTTTCAGTGTTCTCTGACATGGTTCAGCTGACTACCTGCTTTGGCATCTGACCTCTGGCTTGGCACTGATGATGTCCTGGACTTTCTCCATTATTTTTTACCATTTATGTTTTTTGTAGTTTTCAATGAACTCCTTTTATTTTTTAAACCTGCAAGTTTCTGTCTGGTTTCTTGGTTCCCTAAAAAGTAGTTGACTGCGCTGGTGTTAGCTATACTGTGCGATAAGCAGATTTTGTATTATGTATTGATCTTGCATGAATATTTGGTGTTTTTATATATGTGTTTGCTTCAAACAAAAAAAGTTTTAAAAAGTAGCGCTTTTAAGTTTGGAAAACATTAAATATTTCATATTTACAAACCCAGCCAGCTTTCGGGCCTAAGACTCCCCTTCACAGGTTTTCCATGCTCTCCTTAGCTACTTTATTTACAAATCTTTTTTTTTTATATGTTTCCTTTTAAACAGAAATGTCAGGGAGGCACACACAGCTGGATAAGAGGCTCATTCAATTCAGAGGTCTTAAACTGTAATAAAAAAACAAAAAAAAACAAAGCACAGCTAAATGAGCCTTTTAATCAGCATTGTGTCACTCTCTGTTCTGTTTAGCTGGAGCAATATATACATTTTGTGTCATGGTTGCACTCTGAATTGATTGTTTATTATTAACTAAACATTTTATATAGTTTGTAGAAAGTAGCTATAAACATATTTTAAAAATGTATCAACCTCACAAAATTAAAATAAAATTCACTAAAACCAGTATACTTTAACTTTAAATAAAACAAATCTGGTCCCTAGTATCTCAACCACCTTTCATCCACATCCACTGAAAGTATCAGTACTTTTTTCATATAGTAAAAAAAAAAAAAAAATTTAAACACCACTAAAAGAAAGCTCTTTGTGTCCCCAAAAAATTATATAAAATTAATTTCAGTACAGTGTTGCATGACCAAATAATTGTCAAAGTATTGCAGCGCTGAATACTAAAAAATGGCCTGGACAGGAAGGGGGTGTAAACATCCCGGTAAACATCCCGGTCTAGTGGTTAATATAGTATTTTGTATACAGTATGCTTTCTTTGAACATTCATCATATTTATTTTCTTTTATCTCTGAATTTGCATTCATGCAAGGATTTTTTTTCATGATTTTATAGCGAACAAAAAGAATATGATAACTTCTGTAGCAATATCATGAATATCGTTAGTCTATAGCAGTGGTTCCCAACCTTTTTTCACTTGCGCATCACTTGGCAGCATGTTTCCAATAATTGTACCAACCTACCAAATCAATCAGTATAGGAGTATGGGGTTGGGATGGGAGGGAGAACTGCAGACCAGCTTTACCCCGGAAGCTACGGAGAAGTTACTCACACTCTCGTACCGTTCTTCGATTAGTAATAGATACCAAGATACCAAGAGTCGGGCTATAAGATCGTGACTAGATGGTACCGTACTCCACAATCCCTTCACACACTATTCCCTGAGTCACCTGACCTATGTTGGTGCTGCCAACAACCCGGGGCAGGAATGCTACACATTTTCTGGGCCTGCCCGGCCCTCCAACGGTTTTGGGAACAAGTGCGCGCTCTCGCTCAGAAATTTACGGACGTCCAGGTGCCTGAAGACCCGACCTTCTTTCTCCTCCACTGTAACACCATCCCGCTGCGCTCCTATACCCACACCTTGATCAGACATGTGGTAAATGCTGCCAGGTCATGTATTCCAGCACTCTGGAAGAAACCCGAAGCCCCCTCATAAGCCAAGTCCTAGACCGTATCGCCGATATATACATCATGGAAGATCTCACGAGCTCCATTAAATATACCTCTGCCTCAGTCGCTCAAACCTGGCTCCCCTGGTTGGAATACATTCGGTCCCCTGACTACCTTACCCTCAGATAGGAGAACGCGGACCTGCTGCTGATGGGAAACCTTATCCCATCTCCTCCCAGCCTTTCCTGTTTCCCCACCCTTTTTAGGTATTTGCCCTACTACTATCTCTCTCTCTCTTTAGTGACCTAGTAACTACTGGCCCATTTATGCCATATCCTTTTTTTTTTCTTCTTTTCTTTCCTTTTCCGTCACTTAACCCTTTACCCACACAACCTACTCACATTCACTTGATTAAACACTGTGTTTGTTTGTTTTTTTCTCTTGTTCTAGTTTGTTTTGTACACTAAAGTTTTAAAAACAACATCTCTTAAAACCCCCCCCCCCCCCCCTTATTTTTTTCAACACTTTAAATATTTTATTTTTATTTACTTTGTCATATACATCGCAATGCATTTTGTGTATTTTCCTGATGACCGCCCGAGAGAGCAACTATTTGCTACTTATGCACTTGTTTTTCTCTTCTTGTGATCACTGTCAAAGCTTTTAAAATATAAAATAACGAATTCATAAAACAAATTGTGGCATGCATGGCTCATGCCTGACTATATTAATTGTGCTGAAGGGCACTGACATCTGTACTGGTCAGTACTGGTGTGCAGCAGTATTGCTGAGCTCCATTCTCTCTCTGGTGTGTGGGACTTGCAGCATGTGCTGTTTTCACTCACTCCTCACTATTTGTGTTTTCTTCTCTTCCACCCCTGCACTCGCACTCATTCATTTGTGTGTCTCTACCTTTTCTGTTCCACTTCCTCCCTCCTCATGGAGGAGTACACAGAAAGAAAAATTAGCAATCACGGTAGTGTGACTGTAAATATTGCTGCTGGGTCTGCCCACAGTAGCAATAGCTACTGTTGCTCTGCCCTTGCCTTAACCAGGTTAGGCATCTAGGCTGCATAGCATAATGCATTTCCATGGGGCAGGTGGTCAAGAAATGTAAAATTCCTACCACGGATACAAACAACTATCAATATTCTTAATATTTAAAGACATAAACACAGGAGCGGAATACAAAATCAATCCCAATGTCTGTGTGAAATAATTTGTGTCAAACTCAGTATCCAGTGTCCTCTTGGTTAAGGGCCCACCTGGGACCAATGTATGCAATACAGTTAATTTACACAAAAAATTGGGGAACTAGGAACACCAGGCAAATGTCCATTGTTCATGCTTTTGTTAGTTATTCCAGTTAATTCAACTACACTGTTAGATAAAGCTACATTTTTCTTGGTGACTCACCTTCGTCTTCTTTCATTAAGCTTCCTGTAGATTATACACCAGCGAGAATTTAGTGCATCTAAATTCTCCTTAATACGAGACGCGTCAGCAGTTGAGGACTGCTCAGCAACCTCTCCTCCACATACATTCAGTGCTCTAACAGTAGCTTGCTGCTGCTCTATGCCATCTTCAAGTGCCTAAAAGTGTAAAAACAAAAACAAAAAAATTATTTTGAGAACACATGATAAGACTTCTAGAGATAAAATGTTGAGCACAGGTAAGACTCTAGCTACCAAAAAATGTATGATAATAGAAGCATTTTACTGCATATCCCTTAAATACTAATATAACATCATAGGAGTGAATCTGTGGAGACAATAATATAAAGGTTAGGATGTTGGGTATGAATGCAATTCGAAGTACAGTGAGCTCTTGAGAGAACATAGAGTATTGAAATCCTGAATGAACAGTTCACCCTTATAAAGAGTACAGGAGTTCTATCTTTGGGTGTCATGAAGATTGCATCTGTACATGTAATGCACACCTGGATTATTGTGCTTATTATGATATATCAATTTATTTATTTTTTTAAAGCAATCACAGCCTGAATAGAAAAGCCGGTCCCCTTGCCAGCATGTTGTAGAAGGATCCTTGTTCTCTGTGTGAAAGCAGTGGTCTCTCTTAGAGGTCTAACACACCCCTTGCTAAATCAGACCCTTAGCTCTGCAATCTGAAAAGTGTATACTTCCTGCTGACTGAAGAGCAAGCGTTCTTGTCTGCAGCATGCTGGCAGGGGATATGCTTTCCTACCTAGGTGGTGTCTGCTTTCTACTGATGAACTATACGACTTTGCATACTTTTTGTTTGATTGTACCTTGTACGCATTTAGGGTATTTAATCTGAAAGTTTGATTGGGCTTCAAAGAGATGTCTGTAAATGGGGGGATTATAACAGTACCAGTTTGCCTACGACTATTTCCCCATTGAACATAGGGCATTGTCATCTTGACTGCAGTAGGAACTTTCCTGAATGTTTTGGTGAATATCGGAAGGTGTTTCTTTTCATGTATTGTGCAGTAACTAGAATACATTGCTATATTTCAATAAAGAGGTTCATTGAGGTTAGGTGCATACTTCTACTGGTGGTGAACATTTAAGGTGGAACATTTTGTAAAGCAGGGATCTAAAACTATAGGCACAAGGCTCTTGACTGTGTGTACAACCACTGATGGTTCTAACCCCATCATGGGGAGACAGTGAGAGGTAGTGTCCTCCAAAATGAATTAAGTGCCCCCCCCCCCTATACACTCACATATCCTTAATATAGCATTTCCTATTATATTGCTCTATCAATTTTTATTGCAGTTTGAAACAAAAGGGGAAGATTATTTTCAATCCAAGGAGCCTAGGACAGAAATACTTTTTCTATGGTGACTTCTTGTATTGCTGTTAAGTTTTCTGTAAACTTAGTTCCTCTTAGACCCTGTGCTAGAACTCTTGAAAGACAAGCATTTCCTAATATTCCATAGTAAGTGGGCCCAGCCATGAAAAATACAAAATTCCTACTCAAGTCAGTTTTTGTAGCCAATACCCAATCACCACTAGAGACTGTAAGAAGGTTCCATCATGTCAAACCCATGTAAACTGATTTTTTTGAATATTTGTTATGGTTAGCTTCTTTTCTTGTTCTATGTGCACACAAGAGGCTTTAGCGTGTCTTGTTAATTTTCAGCACATTCTACAGTAATTTTGCTTGCATAGCTCAGGATGTCAGTGATCTGCAGTCTTATTTATACAACCCGAAAAAAAATCAGCTTCACCGACAGATAAAATTGCAGCTGCAGAACAGATGGATAGAATCTCCTGAGTGACAATTTAAGGGTGTCCCATGTGTAATGTCTGTATGCCGCAATAATGTGCAATAGAAATGAAAAATACTTTCATATTTCCCTCTGCTCCAAATATGATTTATTACGTTAGAGGACGTGAAAGTGGCACTTCGATGATGGGAGAGAGGCTTCCATCCTCTGGAATTAAGTCTGTTGGGAGATATCCTTTATATTACCAGAAGCATCAGAGACCACTTTAGGGTACAAACTCATGTTTACATTAACACTTGAGGGTTTACAAAATAATATTTTGACAGTTTAAATCCCTCTGCCTGAAAACGGAGAACACTCAGTGGTATGGCGCTTCAGCAAACCTTTGCCAAGCTCTAGTGCTTGATTTGGCTTGATTTGGATGTTCTCAAGATAGAGTTCCTTGGTTGAGTTTAAAAGTCCAACAATATTTTGGAAGATGTGGGTGCATAACATAAATACAAGACAGTTCTAAAAATACATATAGGTAAGCCAGTAACTTTGTAAATCCTGTGACTCTAACCTGCCGTTCTTCAAACCATCACCAAGACATGCAACATAAACCTTTGAAGATGGTGAAAGTGTTGTCCCTCAAAGGTTCTCCATAAATGGCCAACCTGTTGAGGACTCAAAGTCAGACACAAAGTCGGGGAAGATACCCATAAACATTAGCAGTACTCCAAATGATTATTGTGGTAGTGAAACTTTAATAAAACATCAGAGGACATTGACAAAGGTTGTGTGAAATAGTTTTGGTCAGTATTGTTTGGTAAATTCTCACTAGTACAATCACTTCTAGAGTTCTAGTTTTCTTTGTTTCAAAGATGGATGGAACTCTAAGACCTTATATAGAGTATCAATCCCTGAATGGCATCACTGTCAAAAAATGGAATCTGCTACCCCTCACAAACAGAGCTATTTGACTGCCTATGTGGAGTTCAGATATTCTCCAGACTTGACCTGAGAGGGGCCTACATTCTCATCTGACTAAAGTAGGGAGAAGAATGCAACACTGTGTTTAGGCATTATAAATAACTTGTGATGCCCTTTGGTTTATGTAATTCCCATTCAGACTTCCAACACTGTGTTAATGAAATCTTTTAAACCTCCTCTATGTGTGTGTATGGTGGTGTATCTTGATGATATTGCTGTCTATCCAGTCTCTATGAACATTATTAGCACATGTGGATGGTACAACACCTGCAAGAAAACAGGCTCTATATCAAGGCAGAAAAATGCCCTTTTGAGCAACAGAACATGCCATTTCTTGGATACATTGTCTCCAAAGACAGCCTCTGGATGGATCCTGACAAGGTGTCAGCTGTTGCAAACTGGCCTTATCTCACTAGTCTGAATTCCACTCAGCAATTCTTAGGTTTTACAAATTATTTTTTGCCCATTTTCGTAAGGGTCACTCCTTTCTGGTGGCACCTATCACTGCTTGACTGGTAAAGGTGCTAATCCCAAGAATTGGTCTCCCAAAGCCTTGGAAGCTTTTGTGTCCAGCCCTACATCAGCCAAGTACTATAAAATCTTCTACCTGTAGGTCAATGGATCTACTGTGGGCATCATGAAAGTATGCCTATACCTTGACTAAGGCAGAAAGCGACCTTGTGCTTTCATTTCCAAAACATTTAACCCACAGCAAACATTTATGGCATCCAGGATCTTGCATTTTGGCCATTTAGTTTAGTTGCAGTAATGGTGGTGTATTCTTAGAGTTCTCCACATTGTCTACCATATTTTCTGATCACAAGACTCTACAGTGTTTCCAGCCTGCTCAACAGCTCCAACCAAAACAAGCTCACTGGTCCCTTTTCTTTTTTCACTTTAATTTTTTCATTACATAAAAACCAAGTTCCAGTAACACCAAAGTCGCTGCTCTCTTGCGTTCTTTTGACTCCGACGACAGTGAGATCTTCTCCATACCTGAGTCAATTTTTTTCCCTTACTTAGATTCTGGCAGAAACTTTAGTCACGAAAACCCCTATTCCCCCAGGAACTGTCCCTTCACTTCCTGTTAAGAGTCAGCTTTGGTGTATCATTTGAGGGGGTGGAGTGTCCCATGACCTGCTAGTGCTGATCTCTATATTAGTACAGGGTTATTTTTATATATATAGTATAATTACTATATGTTTAGCAGACTAAGAAGACTATAGGTTAACAAGAATGTGAATTTGGGCTTATATCATAAAATTATATTCTTGATCACAGTGATGAATATTATAAAACATAATGACATTTCAGATAGAAGTCTACCCTTAATACAATCTAATCTCATTTTTATTTCTTTCATAGCCTAAAAATAGCTATTTCATTCAATGTCAACATTATGAAACCATAGGGGAAAACACACCAAATGTATCTAGGAAAATGCAATGCCAAAATGTAATAAAGAAATAAACTCTCCCAGAATGCCACTGTTCTTCAATTTTCCCTGTAGTGGGCATCACGCATTTTTCCTGTTAGCAGATTTCAGCCCTGTCTCGACAATAATACAGTGTTGGCTGTCCAGCTTTTAATGCTTTTATGCAGCTTTCAAAACAATGTCATGAAGCAATCAAAATCTTATTTTGTATTCCTGCCATAGACTTAATCTTCTTAAGTGTTTCTTTATTCTCCAATATTTGCCGTGTGCATGTATTAATGATAATCTTTTGATCTGCATATTAGCTACTGCCCGCAACTAATTTGTTTGTCTCGTTTGTCTTGTCGTGTTTGACTCCCACAACATAGATGGATAATATAAATATACTGTGTGTGTATATAGGGGTATGTATATATATATATATATATATACAATCATGGCCAAAAATATCGGCACCCCTGCATTTCTGTCCGATAATGTACCACTTCGCGCAGACAATTGTTGCAATTACAAATGTTTAGGCATTCTCATGTTTATTTCTTTTGTTTGCATTGGTATGGCACAACAAAAGTGGAGAAAAAAAAAGATAAATCTTATACATTCCACACAAAACTACAGAAATGGACTTGACAAAATTATTGACAGCCTCAAATAATATTTTGTAGCACAACCCTTGGAAAAGATAACTAATCGATCCTTTCCTGTAACCATCAATGAGTTTCTGACACCTCTCTACGGGAATTTTGGACCACTCTTCTTTCGCCAACTCCTCCAGGTCTCTCAGATTAAACACAAAAGTGGAGAAAAAAGCCAAATCTGACACATTCCACGCAAAGCTCCAAAAATGGACTGGACAAAATTATTGGCACCTTCTCCAAATTGCAAAAAATAATTGCATTACAAGTTTTTGTGGAAAAGCATGGACAATCTCAGTTTTACAAGTGCATCTCCAGAGATCTTAATGTTCCTGT